CGGGAGGAGGCGAAAGGGGCAGGAGGAGGAGGCGGCGGCGGCGCCGGAGCGGCCCCGGTGAGTCCCGGCCCTTTCCCGTGCCCTTGCCCTTCCCCTTTTCATCCCCGTTCTCCTTCCTCTTCCCTTGTCCCCGTCCTCTGCCCCCTGCCTGAGCCACACCCTCAGCCGGCGGGGCCGCACTCGTCCTGCCCTGGGCTGCATTGCCCCAGATATTTATTTGTACATATATATATATATCCGTCTGTGTGTATGCGTTTATATTTATGTATTGTGTGTCTGTAGGTGCAGCCGTAGGGGTGAGCAGCGGGACTGGGGCTTCCAGCCCTGCCCCCGGTGCTGCCCTGGAGCCCCGGGAGAGGGAATTGCACGGAAATGCTGCGAGGGCTGGAGCTCCTCTGCTCGGAGCCAGGCTGGGAGAGCTGGGAGAGCTCACCTGGACAACACAGGGCTCCAGCGGGACCTCAGAGCCCCTGCCAGGGCCTAAAGGGGCTCCAGGAGAGCTGGAGAGGGATTTGGGACAAGGGCTGGAGGGACAGAACTCAGGGAATGGCTTCCACTGCCAGAGGGCAGGGATAGATGAGATATTGGGCAGGAATTGTTCCCTGTGAGGGTGGGCAGGCCCTGGCACAGGGTGCCCAGAGAAGCTGTGGCTGCCCCTGGATCCCTGGAAGTGTCCAAGGCCAGGCTGGACAGGGTTTGGAGCACTCTGGGATAGTGGAAGGTGTCCCTGCCATGGCAGGGGGGGTGGACTGAGATGAGCTTTAAATCCCTTCCCACTCAAACCTTTCTGTAATCTCAAAAAGAGGGAAAAAGCACAGACAAACCAGAAAGTGACAATTTTATGCCCTGACATCATAACCTATTGGGGGAATCAAATCCCTTTCCTGTTGCTCTCCTCTCCAGCCCAGGCACAGGAGTTCACTTTAGGCTGTTGGCCAAAAGGAGCTGTTTTATCCCCAACATTTCATACCCTGTTCATTCCTCACTCATCCCAAGGAGATTCCCTCTGCCCTTTGGCTGTTGGTGGAAGCGCAGGCTGAGGGGTTTCCAAAAGCCCCCTCTGAGTATTCCAGAGGGAACAAAAGCCCTGACAGCATTTTGGGATGCAGCATCATCCCCTTCCAAGGGCTGAGCCCCTGCACTGGGTGGCTCCCTCTGGGAAAGTTCTTTTCCAAGTGTTCAGTGATGCTCAGCTGTGACACTTCAACAGAGACATTTCCATTCCTGAGCAGCTCCTCAAAGGCCATTCCCAACCTGCAGGGCCCAGCTCCAAAACTCCCTGGCTCCGTGGAGCCACTGGAAGTGAAAATTCCAGACATCCCTGCCCAGAGGTGGGAAGGAGTTTGGCTGTGTTGGGATGTGAAGTGGGAGGAGGAAGGAAGGAAGGCAAATTGCTCAAGGTGAAGAGAGGCAAATCCAGGGAAGGTGTGGGTGGAGTTGGAAGAGAAATGGGGTGGAAATTGGAAAGATCACAAAGATTTGGGCTGGGGGTGGGAAAAATCACTTGGAGCAGCCCGTTGCCCTTGAGGGTGCTTGGAACTGTCTTGTGCCATCCCAACCTCGCTGTGCTGTGCGTGGTCTTCTCTTTATTGCTGGATTTGGAGCAAAGGAAGAGAGAAGCAATCTCTCCAGTGCCTGGATTCCCAAATGTGTCACAGCTCCACAGTCAATCCCTGGAGGATATTCTTAGCAGCACGCGGCGCTCGCCTTCGGAGCCTTCACCGGGGCTTTGATTCCCTGACTTTGAAGTGGGGCTGTTGTTGCTGGGAGGGGTTCTGGGAGCAGCAGGGCTGGATTTCCTGAGGAGTATCACCTTTCACAGCAGAGAGAAGTTGGTTTATATAAATAACTTGGGTTTTGTTAGCAGAAAAATAGATAAAGATACTCGAAAGTTGAGTCAGACAAGGAAATAACTGGGAAAGCCTCGCCTGGATAAACCTCTTCTTATTCAAGATGATTTTTGGAGCTTGATCCAGCCCCTCTAGTGGTCTGAGCTCTGTGAGGTGCTGGAGGAGGAGATGTTGGAGGGGATTTCTCCTTCCCCAGGCAGGTGCAGTCTGAGCCTTGTCCCTGGTCCCCAGCACCTGTCACCTGCAGCCACTTCAGCCTGGACACCACAGCCAGTAGAGCCAGGAATGATCATTTCATCTGACATTCCTTTCAGCTGAACAGGAGAGCTTTGAAATCCAGCTCTTGGCTCAGGTTTTCCTGTCCAGCTTCTAAGGAGGCTTTTCCTTTCCCTGCTCCTCAGACAGGCAGGAAGGGGCAGAGTCTCTCCTGCCTGGCACAGTTTGACTTCTCATGCTGGGATGGGACAGTCCTGGCCTTGGAACAGCCTGGGGTCTGTGGAACAGAGCCTGATCTGCTCCTGGGACTGCCTCAGGGTGTTTGGAGATACAGAGAAGATGCCTGGTGGGCTTTTGAGCAGCTCACAATATTTACTGATCATCCAAAAAGCACGGTGGCCTCTCTTGTACCCTCCTCCTTGCATGGCTCTCCCCACAAATCCACATTTCAGTTTGCCTTTCCTTCCCCCCAGAGCCTCTGGGTCTCCATCCCAGTTGTTTTTTTTTACCTCTCTCCTGGGGTGGTTTCTGCTCCAGCAGCTTCTCCTCCCTCTTTGACTGGTATTTGCAGCCTCCAGGCTCTGTCGTGGAGCAGAGGATGCAAGGTGTCCTCATCTGCCTCAGTGCAATGGGTTACCCAGAGAAGCAGTGGAAGTCCCATCCCTGGAAATGTCCAAGGCCAAGTTGAACAGGGCTTGGAGCAACCTGGGGTAGTGGAAGGTGTCCCTGGATCATGGGAGATGTGGGGATCCTTATACACCAAAAAAACCCGGTTTATGCTCAGCCAGAGCTGCACGTGAGCCCCCATCCCAGTGTCCTGCTCACACACCCCAAACCCACCTCTCCTGCCCCAAAGTGCCCATTGTGCTGCTGCAAAACTGAGTTTGCCTGCAGTGATCCCACATCTTGCTCCATCCCTGATCAGGAAGCCGTGGAAACAAGCAGAGCTCCCAGGGGTATCCGTGAGGATTTATTTCCCCGTCTGGGGTGCACTAAGTGTGTTGCAGTGGCAGGTTTTTGCTTTCCTGATTTCCCAGCTCCCTGTGATACTGAGGGATTTTAAGGAAGTGGATAACACCTGTGTGATGGATATTTGTGTGGGATAAGGATTTGAGAGGAAAAAACTGACCCGGTGCTTTGGGTTTTTAATCAGCATCTGAATCGTGGTAAACAGGGTTGGTTTGGCAGCCAGTGCAGGCTGGCAGCACCCAGCTGGACTCCTACAGATTTCTCATCCTCACCCTCCGAGCTGTAGCTGCTTCAGGCAGGAGTTAGGAAGGCACCAGCCATTTTTAAGCCTCCTGTACCCTAAAACTCTGGGAAATGCTCTCAAATCTGAAGTTTAAAGCTCTGTTCCCCCCTGGTTCTCAGCCTGGGATGTAGCATCACGTGATGATTTGTGTTTCCCCTCCCCTGCTCTTCCCCCACTTTGCTCTGGCCACATTTCTTCATTCCTCCAACCTCCATCTGCAGGTTCTGGGCCAGTTTTCACTCTCTGCACTGGTTCTGTGGAGATTTTGCCCCACATCCTGTCTCCAGGTGCAAAGGGCAGCGTGGCGCCCTGGATGTTTGGACAACTTCTCAGGTGGTGGTCACTGATTCAGACCACGATGACCAAAGCAGCAGAATGTTCTGTCTGAACTCATAAAGCCTCTTGAAGCTGCAGCTCTTCTGCAAAAACACGTTTTCATTGTTCAGAATGAAAGAAAAGCAGCTTGGGTCTCTTAAAAATGAAAAAACAGTGATTTTTTTTTTTTTTTCTTAACTCTCCTAGTCCGTGCCAGGTTTTCTCATGTCTGCTGAGTAGCAGGTCATGCCTGGCTGCCTTCTGCTCCAACCCCAGGTCACCTGGGTGCTCGTCCTGAGCTGCCTTTGCATGAGGTGACATTCCATAGTGGCTTTGCAGGGACCCAGCTGCCCTGGCCTTGGGTAGCGTAAAGGATTGATTAAAACATGCTGCCTGTGAGGTGGAGGCCACTCACTGTCCGTCTGCCCTTTTTTCAGTACCTGGAAGCAGTTCTGAGCCCCAATAAGTTGAGATCCATGGCTACGGTGCTAATGTGCCGAAGATTCCCCAGGCTGAGCAGGGTGACAGCGCTTTCGACCACAGCCGAGCGCAAGGCCGAGCGTGGAAGCAGCAAGAGCAAGAAGGAAAAGCGAGATAAGCCAGGAGCAGCCAAGACTGGGAGCGAAGCCGGGGTTACAATCCAGCTGCTGAAGCCTCAGGACTACAGAGTGTTGTTTGATCCAGCTGCCCATGGCAAAGGCAGGGCTGGCTCCCAGCAGCACGTGGATAGGGACAGCAGCCAGGCCCTCGGTGACACCTTCACCGGCCCTGGCACCGTGCAGGCTCCATGGACATTCCCCACTGCCTCTTCCCAAGCTTTGTCACCCGTCAGGAATGCCCTGCCCCAGCCCAAGTCCAGCCCACACCTGGAGCAGACAATCCTGGCCATGCTGTACAAGGAGGAAGCAGAGAAGGAAAAACGGGAAGTGCACGACTCCAAGGAGGACCCCCGCATGTTCCAGAAGGGGAGGCCCGAGTACAGATCTCTCAGCTGTGACAGAGCTGAGCCAGCACAGCCCCTCCCTGCAGAGGAGGGGGACTCGATTTTACAGAGTGTGGCCGGGTGTGAGGGCAGCCCGGGAATTCTCACGGATTATTTCCTCAAGCTGAGCCGTTTGCCGGCGGAGCGACGCGCGGCGCTGGCGTCCGATCCCAGGTTCAGTGCCCTGTGTCACCGTGCTGGCACGGCCATCAGGCTGTTCAGCACCCCAGATCTCATCCAGATTTTAAAGGCTTGTGTCCCTTTGGCCGTGCCAGCCTCCCACCCCCTGCTCAACGCGTGCGAGGCCGAGTTCTGCCGGCGGGCGTGGGACATGGGCCTGGAGCAGCTGCTGCTGGTGGCGGATTGCTGGCGCTGCCTGGACCGCAGCGTGCCCTCCTACCTGGCCATTCTGTTCAGCTATGCCAACCTGCACTGGAAGGACCTCACCTTGCCCAGGTTTGTGCAGCTCCTTTACATCATCGGGGAAGGCCGAAGGTCGCCCGCGGATTTGGTGCAGAAGGTGGAGAACACCATCCTGAAGCACTTAGATGCCTTCACCTTGGAGGAGCTGGGTGCCATCTGCTTGGGGCTCTTCAAGTCCCTCAGTGGGATTTCTGACCACGTCATGAGGAGGATTGCAGACAGGGTGTCCCTGCAGATGGAGGACATGAGCACCTACGCCTTGGTGAACGTGCTCAAGATGCTCCGCTACACCCGCATCGACCACCTGCCCCTCATGAGGGAGCTCGGAAAGGTCATTCCTGCTCGGATTCCTGCAACAAACATCCAGGGCATCATGCACATCACTCTCACCTATTCATCCCTGCACTTCTTTGACGAGGATGTTTTGACTGCTGTAGCCACCTCATTGCCTTCCAAGGTGTCCTACTGCCGGAGCAAGGATGCTGCCAAATTCCTGTGGTCGTTTGGGTGCCTGGACTACGAACCTCCCAACGAGGAGTTTTACTCCAGCCTGATAAAGCAATTGCATGCAAAACTCCATGAGTTCAACAAGTTTCCAGAGCATCTCCTTACTGCTCTGCTTGGCCTGGCATTTGTCAAACGTTTCCCAGAGGAGCTGATAGACTTTGCTTTGGGGGAGGAGTTTGTCCAGAAAACCAGAGGTAGCAAATACGAGCTCGACAAGGACCTGTTCACCCTGGGTAGGAGCGTTGAAATTGAGTGCCCGACCTACCAAGGCAGCCTCCTCCCACCTCAGCTTTGTCAAGAGTTCACTGAGATGGTTTCAAGCTTTGCAGAACGGGAAATCTACGTCAGGCCTGAAATCTTGGAAGCCACATCCCTCCTCGAAAGCATGTTGGGAGGCCCTGAGTACGTGAAGAACCACATGATCCTGCCCCACACCAGGTCCAGCGACCTGGAGGTGCGTTTGGCCACCGATGGACATCCCATCCCTTTCAATTTCAAGGGTCCTGTGGCAGCCCAGAAGCTGAAAGATGTGGGAGTTAGTCTGACAGATGATTTAATGGCTCAGCTCCTCCAGGGGAGAGCTCATACCCAGAGTCCCACGGAAGTGGGAAGTGAAGCCAGGATTCCCGGACAGGACACAGCAGGAGCACCGTGCTGGGGTGCAGCCCTTCCTGCAGCTTCCAAATCCCAGGCTGAGCCTAAACCAGGGCGCTGGCAGCCTCGGGAAGTGAGGCTGGCACTGCAGGTGTCCAACAGGAACCACTTCTGCTACGGCTCCAAGCGGCTGCTGGGGCTGCACTGCCTGAAGCGGCGGCAGCTGCGGCTGCTGGGCTACGTGGTGGTGGAGATTCCCTTCTGGGAATGGTTCCCTCTGCTCAAGCGCACGCGCTCCGAGAAGCTCAGCTACCTCCACTACAAAGTGTTCTGCCCGGAGCTGCTCAGCAGGGCTGGCTAGTGGGGGCAAGGGCTTGCCCAGAGCCTCCCCAGTGCATCTCCATGGCTGGCACTGGCTGAAAGGAGGGTGCAGCCAGGTGGGGTTCAGGCTCTGCTCCCAGGGAGCAAGAGGAGGTGGCCTCAGGGTGGTCCAGGAGAGGTTTAGGTTGGCTATTAGGTCTCTGGGTGCTGGCTCAGTTTTTGGCACGTGCTCTGTGTGGTTGTTTCTGCTCTGGTGACGTCTGTACTTCCCGTGCTCTCCTTTTGTACCTGGATCCTCAAATGCTTCCACCACAAATAAAACCTGCTAATGATTCATTTTCCTCTGTGATTGCTTCTTCCTCCGCCCTAAACGAGAGTGGTTGGATTTGGTGGCTCTGTGAGAGCAGGAACAGAGGAGATTTAGTCACGAGGCTGAGCTGGGTGCCAGGAACACACACAGCTATTTCCTTGTGTTTCCATACCCATGGGGCTGGGGGGCACAACCTGGGTTTTTCCTTTAGGATGGAACGTGGATACTGAGTGGGACTGAGGGTTGGGGTGCTCTGACCCCAGGACATTCATTTCATGCTCCAAGGACTTTATTTGGTGTCCACCATGCACATTCCTTACGGCAGCAGCTCTGTAGTCCCACATAGGACACCAGGAAGAGTTGTGGTGACAAATTCCAGACAATCTGGTTTAAAATTCCTTGTCCAAAACCACTGAGGATTTTTTTCAGGTCTGTGTTTCATTGCCTCAGACCAAAGATCTTTGTTCACCTTAGGAAAGGCACACACCAAAGAGAGAGTTAAAAAAACCCAGCCATGGGTAAATGCAACTCGGTGACTCAACTTCTGCCATGAGATTTGTAGCAGAGTCTTTCAGCAGAAGGGAGTGCAGTGACTTGGAAATACAGAATAATCCATTTTCTTACTGAGGAATTGAGACTGGAAAAATTAACCTGAGTTGTTTCTCTCAGGGTCACAAACAGGCAGGAGAAAATCCTATAAAATACCCATACAGAGCTCCTCATGTTGCAGGAGAAGGCTTCAACCCAGGAAAGAGAGATGGAACAGGGGGAAAATCTTGAGTTTTCCCAAGGAAGGGAGCAAGGAGGGTTGATTCGCCACTTTTCATAACACCAGTGCTGAGGGCCAAGTGAATTTACCACTTGGTAAATTCATTTTGTTTCAAAATGAGCCAGAAAGAGCAGTTTTGAGGCACAGCCTGTAGTTGGACTGTCAAATCTCCTACAAGATATGAGTGCTGAAAGGCAGACCAGTTTAACCAGTTCCCCACTGCAGCCCAGTTCTGGAAACCTCTCAGACTCAGAAAGGCAGGAAAGGAGTGTTGGAGGAGAGTTGGTGTGTGCTTGTCCTGCTCCTCGAGGAGCAGGAATTGCTCCTGATGGCTGCCACTCCAAATTTTGGGATAGAAGTGCTGCTCACCTGCCTGGTCCTCTTGTAAGGTTCACACCTGCTTCATTCCAGGCATTGTAACCAAGCTCTGCCCTCTGCAGGTGTGAAATCCGTGTTGGGCTGGGTTTTATCCCTGAGATTTGTGCCTTCAATTCCACCTTTCTCCTTGCAGATGCAGCACGGGGAGCTCATTAACTCTGCCTTTCCAACGTGCCCCCAGAAGGCCAATTTCATTTGGGCTGAACCAACACATCAGTGGAGGATCATTAAAGAGCTGCTTGTTCTTGAAGGAGGCAGCGAGTCCCTGATTTGCAAGGTTGCCCAGGGCGGTGACATTTTAAAGCTGAGGTTAACATGAGGTTAAAGCTCTCACCTCGCAGATAATTTAATTCTTAAAAGGGATCTGAGAGAGCCAATTCCAGTCACTTGTATTTTTTTTTTTTTCAATGGGAAAGGTGTGTTCACTTGAGTTTCTTTAATGAATGCTGGCAGAAGAATTTGGTGTTCAGATCCCAGACATCTCCCTCAGAGCTATTCCGTGCCCTCTGCTCCCTTGGAGTTATTTAACACCAATTATTAATATTTGTGGTTAATCTTGACTCACTGTGACAGCCTCCTGTGCTCTGCTGGTGCTTTTCTGCACCTGTAAAACTCCTACATCTTTGACAAACCTTCAGATCTAATTGCTGGTCTGTTCATAGGTGGTTTTAGTTAAAATAGGCATTTTTCTCTTTGATTTTTCTCCACAGGTTCACTAATTAATATTAATGCAATTTTTTTTTCCTCTCAATCTCCTCTCTCCACCACATTCATTTGGGTTTATATTGGCTTCACCCCCTGGACTCAGATCTGAGCTGCATTTTAGGAATTGTAACTCACCCAAAACACTAAATCCTTTCACTGCTCATGGTTATTCACTTCCTTCATTTTTAATTTCTTTTTTTCCAAGCTGACTCTGATGCTCAGCAAGTGACCAACCTCTCCAGCTGCCAAGATGGTAATAAACGTCTGTCTCCCACAGTTCAAGCCAAGAATTCACTGCAACAAGGTAAAATAGTGATGTGGGGGTTTGGGGAGTGGGAGGGATCAGGTGGAATTGTCCTGGTGGGAGCTCGTTCACTGCTCCTCTGGGATAATCAGCATCACTGATGTGGCACACACTAAATATTGGAGGGAAAAGCCCTAATTTTGTAGGATCTCATAACCAGACAGCATTATGTGCTTCCAGGTTTAAGTTCTTTGACTTGAGATCCCTTTTTTCCTGCAGTATTCCAGCTTTCCCTCCGTCCATTGCAACACACAGCTCTTGATAATGTTTGCTGAAGTTACTTTCCAGGTATTTCTGGTCTCAGCACATCAGAATCTCTTTAAGAAACTCAGTTTTCATTCAAATCTAGTTTTTAATTGTATGTTTCCACACCAACTCACCCCAAAATCCAGGACAGCCTTGGCTTTGTAAATACTGTGCTGCAAAAGCAGCAGTGCTGGAATTTTTTATGGAGAGAGCCAGCCATGCCACAAAGATTTGGTGTGATTGTAGTGATCAGGACCATATGAATCACGTGGAATAAACAGATTTTCCTCGTTTTTATTTGTCCATTCAGCGAGTGCTGCAGATTTCTCAGGGCCTGGGGCTTCCAGGAAAGGGAATGGGTTTAACCAGTCTGCCCAGGAGCAGAGCAGAGGGTGGGATTGGATGTTCCAAAGCAGACCCAGCCTGGTTTGATGGATCTCCCTCAGGAATGGGTGGGATGGCTCCCAGAGGCTGATGAACATCCAGAATTCCTCTGGGATCCTGTAACTGTTGTTCCAAGTACATTTCCACATGGATGAATAGTCACAAAGAAAATCAGGAGACTCCCACCTGAAAAGGGAGACTGAAAGAGGAGACTCCCATCTCCCCCAGGCTCATCCTCTGCTCCCAGCCATCCTCTCCTTGACTGATTTCACTGACCCAGCCAAAACCATGAATTACCCCTCATTTTCCATTCTTCCAGCAGCTAAGTCAGGTCTCCACATGGTGAGGAGGGAAATGGGAGCACGTGGCTGGAGGAGGGTGGGAATAGCTCTGCTCTGCCTTACAGCAGGGCTCTCCTGCCTGGTCTGAGCTGCACATCAACCTCAGCCTTGGCTCCTGGTTGATGTCATCCTGAAAAATCTCTGGAAGTGCTTGTCAAATTGGCTTCCTTGTGTTTCCTTGCTCCAAACTGAACCCAGTTTTGTGCTGGCACACAGATCTCTGCCGATGGCTACGAGGTGGAGAACCTGATCTCCGAAGACCTGGCCAGGAGGAACCGCGGCTTCCGCAGCGAGTACTTCATCAAACCCCCGGTGCACGTCACCATCTCCTTCCCCTTCAACATCGAGATCTGCAGGATCAACATCGACATCTCCTCCGGGGGGTACCAGACCTTCTCCGGGCTGGAAGTTTACACCTCTACCTCATGCAACAAAACCTCTTGGCAGAGCCCTGAGGGGCAGTGCTCAGGTCTGGCCGGGCAGCCTGTGTCGGACAAGGACACCTTCACCCTGGTGGGAAAAGCTGTCTTAAAAAATCAGAGCAAAGTGACTTTTGGCCACAGAGGTTTCAAGCCGAGGCCTCCTTTCCATCAGATGGAAAATGTCTTCTCCTACCCCGGCTCGGTGTCTCAAGACCTCTGGAACAAAGGGCCGGCCTCGCTCAGCAACGTGTCCCACCTAAAAATCTGCATCACCCACGTGGCCGGGGGGGGCCTGCCCAGCATCAAGAGGCTGGAGGTGTGGGGACAGCCTGCCAAGTCCTGCCCACAGGAGGTGATCGAGGGCGTCTTCCAGGTGGCCTCCCAGTTCCTGGCCCAGGACGTGGGCAGCCTCAAGCCGGAGCTCTGGACGCCGATGGAGAGCGACTGCGTCCCCTTCAGTGCCAACGAGCAGCAGACCCTGCACAAGCTGGTGGATGTCGTCCAAGACATCCCTGAAGAATTCCTGGACCCCATCACTCTGGAGATCATGACTTTGCCCATGCTCCTGCCCTCTGGGAAAGTGATTGACCAGACCACGCTGGAGAAGTGCAACCGGAGCGAGGCGTCCTGGGGCCGTGTTCCCAGCGATCCCTTCACGGGGGTGGCCTTCAGCCAGCACTCGCAGCCCCTACCTCACCCCACCCTCAAGGCCAGGATAGACCACTTCCTGCTGCAGCACAGCATCCCTGGCACCAACCTGCTGGGGAGGGCTCACGCTGCGGAGAGCCTGGTGCCCTCCTCCATCACCCTGTCTTCTCTGAAAAGGAAAATGGACTGCATGGATCAGGGCTCCCTGCAGCCGCCCTATTTTTCTGCTACAAACTTACTTGTCACGGCTACCTCAGAGAACAGTGCTAAAAAAATGAGAACTGACAGTGACTCCCACTTGATCCAGATGGACTGTTCCACAGGTATCGTGGCTCCCCAGGTCACCTCTGTTCCCTGAGTGGTGGGACAGCCCCAGGCTGAGGTTTCAAATCAGGACAGATCCAGTGCAAGTTCCCATCACGCCTCTAGAAAGCTTCCAGGCTGTGTTTGGCTGTTGATGGGTGTGGTGGGGCTGGGTCATTTCATCCAGCTCCCGTGTTCCCTGTTCAGTGTTTCACAGCCCTTGTTTGCTCAGGTCACCCTGTTCCCCTTTTCACTTTGGATTTCCCTTCCTTCCACGTGGAGACAATGTTTTTCTCAGCGTCCTGCTTTGGAGTTTCTTTATCCAGGGGGATTTATTGTATCCTGCAAAAACAGGAGAAGAAATGTCTGGTGGGGCAGTGGTGGTGGCACGGGGAGTCCTGGCTCATGGTGTGGAGGGAGGTGGGAAGGAAGGCAGGAATGGGACACAGAGCAAACCACAGCAAGGGAATTGCAGGCAGGAGGGACAGCTCAGCCTGGGAGAGACTGCACGGAATTTTCAGGTGGTT